AAATGTTTTGACCCTTTAAACTCTCAAAACTAAACCGTAATACAACATAGTTATCCCAAAAATAAATGATATAATGAATTTTTTTTTTTTGAAAAAGTGGCACTTGAAAAGTTGCATTTTTAAAAAAATTTCAAAAATCAATTAGTCAAACAATTAATTAACAATTAGTCTTAAGATTTTAATACTATATACTACACATATGAAGACGAGAAAAACGATGAAAAGAAATAGCGAAAAAGAACAAAAAAAGCATTGAAAAAAAAAGAAAAGAAAATGAAGACGAGTACAAAACCAAAGTTAGATAAAATAAAGAAATAAAAGACGAAAAAAGGAAAGACCGATTAAAAAAAACAAAGATCGAGAAGAAAATGAAAAAGAATGAATTGCGGAAAAGAAAAAACAAAACAAACGTAAATAACTATTACAATTAAATGAGTTTATATAAAAGAAAAAAATGAAGTTTACAAATTCTTCATTAAATAATTTTTTCACTAATTATAAATTTTTCCATAATGTTATTCATAGTTTACATTTTAATTTAACACAAATACAAAAATTATAAACGAAAAGGTCTATAATTCATGATAATACTTAAAATTATTATATATATGCATGTTAATTTTTTACATGCATATAATTTTGAAACTAACAATTCTTCATATTTAAATTTTATAAATGATAAAATTATGTATTTTAAATACAAAAATTAACTTATTTTCTAAAATATTTTATACCAGCACACGGTGCGGGACGATCACCTAGTAACAAATTAAATTGTGACACTTGTACATGAGTTTCTAAAAATTGATGAGAAACGTTTCTTTCTTGTGAAACTTAAGAGATTATCTCACATTTCTCTCTTTTCTTTTAGTATGTGTTTATTATATTTTAATCTATGAGACTCTTTAAAAGCTTAGAGCATGGAGACACTTTAAGAATGTGTTAAGTAATTTTTTAAAATTAAATTTAATAAAAATCAGTTTGACACCCTAAGAAAAGTTTCATTAAGTTTCTCCCAAACAACTTTTTCATAGAAAATTCATAAAGTTCACTTAATAAAATAATTTTTGAATCATTTTTATTTTTTTAAGACACTTTTAAAGTGTCTCCTTTAATGATGCTCTACCAATGCAAATGCTCTAATGACCCAAGATTTTTGCCTAACACTTTATCTCCATGAGGATTAACGAAAGCACTATCTTATCTTCATGAGGATTAACGAAAGCACTATCTACATTACACTAAATAAAACTCAACCTTTTTTTTCGTGCAAAAACTAAAAACTCTACCTTATGTAAACGTTTTTCAGATGTTTAAATTTTGCTTAAAATCGATTATTATCAAATAAATATGTCAAAAAAGTATATCACAATACTTTAGCGAAGTAATATGATAAAGAAATAGTGTGATTCGTGACGACCGACGAGGAATACAACATGAACATCATAAAATGTATCATGATTGGCACAACAGCTAACGATGGAGACATGCAAAAGTTGAAAGGCAAAAAAGTCAAATTTTTTGTAAGGTTCTAAGAAAAAAAAAAAATTTGGATCAATATTAAAAAAAAAAAATTGGACATTTTTTTTTTAAAAGTTTTTTAAAATTGGTCATGTGCAATAGAATTACTTGCCACCCCTCTTATACGGCCTGTGATGTGGATGATATCATGGTTGTGTACAGATCAAGATCCAAATCATGATTTGTACCACACAAAAAAAAAAAATCATGGTTGGGTACAAATCAAGATCCATTATAAATAATGGACTATACGCAACAGCTAACGATGGATAGAGACATGCACAAGTTGCAAATGGAAAGTCAAAGAGAACTAATAACTAATGATAGAGCACAAGGTTTGACTGCATAACTAAACCATGATAATTTTAATGGTTTGATTATCTTTCTAAATTAATGAAATTACAACCTTATTTTATTTTAAACAAAAGTCGATTCTTCATGTAAATGTAAAAAGAATTTTCATGCTTGTTGACACCATTCTCTTGTTACTTCTGGCTAGATGCCTACACATTGGAGTCTTGTTGAGAGTCCAGTCAACGTTAACACTATCTTCTTTTCTTTTGTGTAATTGTCCGAGAAACGCTATCAGAACAATTGAAATGTCATCACTTAGTACAGGGAACAGAGAGAAACCACCCATGATATCGTCAAAAAGAACACTCTTCTCCAGACTGTCTGAGATTTCATGCATAAGACGAAGACTCCTCCTTCGCAAGAGTTGATCTTAATCGTTAACTAAATCAGAATATTAGAAAACAAGTATGTTCCCTTGATTAAATATTATCCTGTCGAAGTTTAATGCATTCAACAACATAATTTACCATATGATGACTTTTCCACTTTCCCAAATTCTCAGAGCAGCATTCTCATTCTGCAACAAAAGAGCATAGCATATACAGATTATAGACCACCAAGTTTCATTCTTTCTCAGCAAGTTCCTACAAGAAAGAAGAAGAAAAAATGAAGAGAGAAAACAACCTCGTTCTCATCTTAGTCTTCTTTATCATCATCTTACTGATGCAAGTCGGAAAAGCACAGAATACAGCAACCGATGTTAAAGTGGGAATCGTAACCGATGTTGGAATGGTATACTCCAAAATGACTTTGCTCTGTATCAACATGTCTCTCTCTGATTTCTACTCTTCTCATCCTGAAACCGAGACAAGGCTTGTACCCACCATTGTCGACTCCAAAAACGACGTTGTTATTGCAGCAGCAGTAGGTACGCATATGCACATCAATCATCAGTTCAATTATTGTCCACATTGCTGAATTGCTTGCCTTAAGATTTTTCGCCAAAGCTAAGGAAATTGGTATGATGAAGCAAGGATATGTCTGGATCCTAACCAATGCGATTACCGATGATCTGAGTATAATGAACGAGACAGAAATTGATACAATCCAAGGGGTAGTAGGTGTAAAGACCTATGTCCCGAGATCCGAAGAGCTTGACACATTTAGATCTCGATGGAAGAAGAGATTCCCGATTTCTGACCTGAGCGTGAATGGATTGTGGGCTTATGATGCCACCACTGCACTGGCCCTGGCCATTGAAGAAGCTGGGACATCAAATTTGACTACAGTCAAGACAGTTGCCATGAGGAACATGTCTGAACTTCAAGGTCTAGGTGTATCTCAATATGGTCCAAAACTTCTCCAGGCACTCACTAGAGTTCGGTTCAAAGGTCTTGTTGGTGATTTCCAATTTATCAAAGGAGAACTGCAACCGTCAGTGTTTGAGATTGTTAATGTGAATGGGCACGGTGGAAGGACCATAGGATTCTGGGTGGAAGAACATGGTCTCTTGAAGAACGTGGAAAAAAAACCAGCTACCACGGCCACTTTCTCTTCTTGGCAAGATCGACTCAGACCAATTATATGGCCTGGAGACACTACTTCCGTAACCAAAGGATGGGAGATCCCAACAAATGGTAAAAGGCTGCAGATTGGAGTCACTGTTGGTGCACTTTTCCCACAATTTGTGAAGGTTACAAGAAATCATATCACCAATTCAACAACTTTTAGTGGATTCTGCATCGACTACTTTGAGGCTGTAATTCAAGCGATGCCCTATGATGTTTCATATGACTTCATTCCTTTAGAAGATGATGATTATGATACCTTAATCTACCAGGTGTATCTCGGGGTGAGAGACACTGAACGTTTATTTGTTCTTCTTTATATGCTCAATCTTCACTGAGCTGGATTGTTGAAACCACGTCCTTGTTCATTATGTTTGGAGCAGAAATATGATGCTGTGGTGGGAGATACAACAATAGGGGCAAATAGGTCAATGTATGTTGATTTCTCATTGCCATACACACCATCGGGCGTAGGTCTGGTTGTCCCTGTGAAAGACAGTGTTAAAAGAGGCAGTACCATCTTTTTGATGCCTTTGACATTGGAACTTTGGCTAATCAGCCTATTGTCCTTCTTAATTATTGGCCTTGTCGTATGGGTTCTTGAACATAGGGTAAATCCAAACTTTGATGGGCCTGGCAAGTATCATCTCAGCACTATCTTCTGGTTTTCTTTCTCCATTATGGTCTTTGCTCCGAGTATGCTCACTCTATCCTTTACATTGCAATACCAGAGCTCATTTTTCACATACTTTAGTGCTGCACCTATTTCCAAACATCATCTTGCTCACATATCAATGCATCTACAGGAGAAAGAGTGCTTAGCTTCTGGGCAAGGCTCGTGGTTATCATTTGGTACTTCTTAGTACTTGTGTTGACTCAGAGTTACACCGCTAGTTTGGCATCGCTTCTTACATCACAACAGCTTCATCCAACAATAACTAACATAAATAGCTTGCTGGCAAAAGGAGAAGCTGTGGGATATCAACGCAGTTCCTTCATTTTGGGAAGACTCAAAGAATCAGGTTTCTCAGAGGGGAGTCTTGTACCCTTTGGGTCTGTAGAAAACTGTGATGAGCTACTGAGCAAAGAACCAGCAGAGGGTGGTATTTCTGCAGCTTTCTTGGAAATACCTTACGTGAGACTTTTCCTTGGACAATACTGTAACACGTATAAAATGGTTCAAACACCATTCAAGGTCGATGGATTCGGCTTCGTAAGTCCATAAATTTGCGTTAAACTCTCTCTTGAAGTCATCTTGCACCTAATGCTAAGACCTGTAATTTTGTTCTGCAGGTCTTTCCCCTCGGATCCCCTCTAGTGGCTGATGTATCAAGGGCTATTCTAAAAGTGGAAGAGTCGAACAAGGCAACCCAACTCGAGAATGCATGGTTCAAGCCAATAGAAGAAAGTTGCCCAGATCCACTCACCAACCCTGATCCAAATCCCTCTGTATCCTTCCGCTAACTTGGCATCGATAGTTTTTGGGTTTTGTTTCTTGCTGCCGCCATAGTTTGTGGTATAGCATTGGGGAAATTTGTGTTTCACTTCTTGAAAGAGAACCCAGAACAAAGAAACCTGCGAGGACTGTGGGAAAAGTTCCTTGAGCCAGATCAAACTTCATACATAAACGAAGTGAACCTCAGGCCAAGGCCAGAGAATAACCATGAAGAAGCAAACCCAGCAAACAATGGCAGTCAAAGTTAGCACATTTTGATTTGCCTTTCCCTTCCCTTGCGATAATAAGTACAATCTACATCTTTGTTTGAAGAAATTATCTGAAATTCCAAACAAAAAGAGATATCTTGATGATCATTCATTATGATATATAAGGTTTTAAAACCTGCTCCCGATGTGGCCTAAAACAATTTGCAAAAACCATTCATTTCAAAAGAAAAAGCGACAAGCAAAGAGCATTTTACAGAAGGAAAATCTAGCCAGAGGTAGATTGGATTCCCGAAAACCACCAAGTCAAAATTTACACCGAATCACTTAGTGAAGAAACGAAATCGAAGCATTCCAATAATGATAACAAGAATCCAGAGACGGGAAATCAAAGCAAAATATTATGTCGATACAAGTTCGTCTAGCGTCAGAAGAAAAGCTTACCGGAGCTAGGAGTAGGAAATGCAATGCAACACCTTGATTTCTGATATAAAACACCTTAACCGTTACTTTCTGAAAACCCTAAACCTAGCACCGTTTCTGGCTTTGTTTTAATCGGAGAAGATGAAGTTTAACATCGCTAATTCAACTACTGGTTGCCGGAAGAAGCTCGAAATCGAACCATGACCAAAAAACTGCAAACACCTTCGTCTTCTATTTTTTTTTTTTTCATAAAAAAAAAAACCGAATTGGGCCAAACGGCCCACTAGAAAATAAACCTTATATAAATTGGTGAGTTTGGTGGTGTAGAAGAAACCCTAGTCGTCAATTGCTAAAGCTTCTGTGGCCGTAGAGACGACCTGAGAAGATGAAGGTACGCAAACGACGGCGAGGAAGATTCTACCTTCTTCTTGTTTGATTTTCGTTTTCTTAACCTTTTTCATGTTTCTTTGTTTCAGTTGAACATTGCGAATCCAACTACTGGTTGCCAGAAGAAGCTCGAGATCGACGATGATCAGAAACTGTAAGACCTTGCGTTTCTGATTCAATCTTTATTCTCCTTTTTTCCCCCATAGATTTCGTGATAGGCAATCGGAACTAGTATAGGTTTAGTATACAGAAATGGTCCCGAAATTTTTCGATTCTTTGCCTGCATTTGTAAATGTCCGTATGGTCTTATAAGCTTTAACACGTTTAGGAATCTTCTTCTATGTTCAGTACAGCCTAAGGTTTTGTTACCTATGTGTGTAATTATTGAGTTTGTCACATTTTTGTCATTGCATTGCAGCCGTGGGTTTTATGATAAGAGACTCTCACAAGAAGTCCATGGAGATGTTTTGGGCGAGGTACAATTTCATCTATCTTATTTAATCAAATAATGATTGCAAGATTATCATTTCGAAACAAACATGAAATTGTGGTTATGAAATGCTGTTTTTTTTTTTTGCAGGAGTTCAAGGGGTACGTTTTCAAAATCATGGGTGGGTGTGATAAGCAAGGTTTCCCAATGAAGCAGGGAGTTTTAACTCCAGGCCGTGTTCGCCTCTTGCTTCACCGAGGTAGATTATTCGACTTGCCTCGTACAATAATGCTACATCTATACTGGTTTGTGTTTTGATGTAGATTTTGCATAATTTTGTTATGGCTGAACAGGAACTCCTTGCTTCAGAGGACATGGAAGGAGGACTGGTGAGAGGAGAAGAAAGTCTGTTCGTGGTTGCATTGTGAGCCCTGATCTCTCTGTTCTTAACCTTGTCATTGTGAAGAAGGGTGACAACGATCTTCCCGGGCTTACCGATACCGAGAAGCCAAGAATGAGAGGACCAAAGAGAGCCTCAAAGATCCGTAAATTGTTCAACCTCAAGAAAGAAGATGATGTGAGGACTTACGTCAACACTTACCGCCGCAAATTCACAAACAAGAAAGGTTAGAGAAATCCAAGATTCTTTTCGAACAAACTTGAGTGTTGATGGTCTCTGAAGCTTGTTTCTTCTTTTGGGTTTTGTAAAACAGGCAAGGAAGTGAGCAAAGCCCCTAAGATCCAGAGGCTTGTGACTCCATTGACACTTCAGAGGAAGAGAGCTAGAATCGCAGACAAGAAGAAGAAGATTGCTAAGGCTAACTCTGATGCAGCTGAGTACCAGAAGCTTCTCGCCTCGAGGTTGAAGGAACAGCGTGACAGGAGGAGTGAGAGTTTGGCGAAGAAGAGGTCGAGACTCTCTTCTGCTGCTGCCAAGCCCTCAGTTACAGCTTAAGAAAATAGCTTGAGAATCACATTTCTAGCTTTGTCTTCTGCTCCGGCATTTAAAAAGTTAAATTCGAGTTCATTATATCAGTTTGTTGTTCCATCACATGATGATGGGTACACACTCACCACTTTGGACTAGTGTTTCTTGATTTATGCTTCTTTTATAGTTAAAAGACCATTTTAAACTCAATTTTGTTCTCTCTCTATTTCAGTTTATACATGGTTTGTCTATCTTTTCATCTGAGAGTGGTAATCTTACTCAATTACAAAATTAATTGAGTTGATTAACCATTGATGTAATCTAAGTTTGGATTAGTATCAAATTACATTTGAGCAAAAGAAAAAAAAAACCAGACATTCAATGTTTGTTTGGATAAGCTGTTGTTCCTGTAGTATTGGAGAGCTGCCGCTTTTGAAGCTGAGAGAGTGACAAATGCAGAATCATTGTTTGGGTTTGTAATTATTTCACTTGTTTCGAATTCAAGTTCACCCTCTAACAGTGAATTTTTATGATTATGTGAAAAGTTTCAGAGAATGCACTGTTTTTAATTCAGAGGTACTTACGACAGTAACACTGACTCTATTAATAAATTTGTAAAGAGAAAAGAAAGTCAATAGGGGTGGTGGCGCAGTTGGCTAGCGCGTAGGTCTCATAGCTACTGAGTGATCCTGAGGTCGAGAGTTCGAGCCTCTCTCACCCCAATAATTGTTTTTCTTATTTATTTTATCTAGGATATATGTTCAACCATCTGATCTAATTTGATGACTTATGCAGGGTGTACCCAAAGATTTAGTAAAGGAAAACGGTGTGGAAGAAGGAAGGCATGAGATAGTTCTGATGAACGAACAAGGCAAGTCTATGGGAATCACAACTTGAGAGCCAAGTGTATGTAGTCCAAGGTTGGACAAATTTCTGTACCGCAAATGAACTAGAAGATGCAGATTCTTGTACAGCTGTAGAAGGAGAACCTTCTTGTCGCACTTGGCCATCTAACAAATCCACTGATAATAAAAGAAACTTGCAGAACACGAACCTTGCTCTGTCTAAAATCATGTGGCTTTGGTGAAACAGAGCGTTGTAGACAACTTAGGTATGTAAATATTTTTTGTTAATAGTACACAGAGTGGTGAAGGCAATGGGAATCAAACAACATCCTCAAGTAGTTAATAATCAAGTTTAAATGTGGAATTGAAGATTTATCCGGTGGCTTTTGTAACCTCCATTTTATTTTATGATGATTTTATTTCAAGATGTAGATGAAAAAGGAGAAAAAACTAAGTCTCTCTCAATTCATCTCATTCGTTTATTTTTAAAAAGTTTAATCTCTCTCAATTCATTCAAATGTATCTGTAATATGGAAAATTGTGAAAGAAATTTAAGTCTCTCAATTCATTTATTGTAAAATAGAAAAAAAAATGGAGCGTATATTTCCAATGAAATAAATTGAAAGTAAAAGAAGAGGAAGAGACAACGATCTCTCTATGTAACCCCTCATTGAATCTCCAAGAACAATCAATCTTGGATGTTTTGTAAGTGATCGGAAATGGCGCATACAACACTCTTCTCTCCTGCAAACCCACACTTCTTCCAGCCTCTTCTTCCCGGTTTCCAAAGCCACCTCGTACGCAA